ATAGTCCGTCCATAGTTTCCACATATTATATTATACAACTATGTGTTTTATAGTCCGTCCATATGTTCCACATCTTACGTTATACACCTATGCGTTTCATAGCCCGTCTATAGGTTCCATATATCAATTCCTAGGCACTTGGGGCCTTAATTATCACATCATACTTGGCACTAGACCATATTTTATAACTCAATCACTTATTTTCCACATTTCATATTATTTCCATATATTGCACATCAATATCAATTTCAACAACAAGCGATTTAATCCAAGATGTCAAGTACACATGAGAGGAACCATGAATCCTCGACATATACAATATCTCAAAAATTATACACCTCAAGTTTAGTGACAATGAAACTTTAAACACAACGGATTCTTCCAAATCAATAAAGGGTTACACCATCCCGCAATAAAAACACGCATAAAAGGCATAAGCAAGCAATTACCCATTTTGTTCTTGAATCGTTCTTTTTCAATCATGACAATATACAATTTTAACATCGAAGTATATAACAACTCAGATCTCATTAGATGTACTCATAAGGCAAGACATTTTCTCGAATATCAATTTGTGGCATAATTTGTGTATGAAGACTTTAAAGCACTTTTCTTTTATTAATGAAGTCATTTATGGAAAGCAGAGTCGAGGATCATTTCATAATATGTTTCATATCTTCTCTTATCATAGGCATCACCGGGTACAATTACAGTTCACATTCTTGGCACATTAGTTGTACTCTATTTCAACCATCTTTATATATAAAGAATTTCACATAGTTTGGCATAATACATGCTGCTCCAATCTACATTTAATCTCTTAGCATTTCAATACATGTTTCATATTCCTTGCACCCTTTTTAAGTTATCAACAATAGCACATTAATCATATTGGGATGCATCTTTCACAAATATAGGGTCACAACAATAATTCATGTAAAGTACCAACCACAACAAGAATCCAAAGTTCAATCTTACCACATTTACACAGCCACATACTTCACTTCCAATCATCTTTATGCATTACCGACAACTAGACACAATCAATCAAATACGTTTGGTACATATAAGAACAATTTGGAGGATCAACCATAATAAGTTTTCTCACATAATTTGGCATCAAGATCTCGATTTAAACTTGGCTTGAAGTCTAGGCATTTTAGCACATAATTCCCATTCTTCACATATCCTCATTTACCAAGAATAACATGTTAAACACGTTGAGGTACATCTTTCACATGCATTCTTGAAACACCCAAATCTTTTGAAATATTGAATACTACATAAATCAAATTCCGGACTCACAACATACGCAGGGACACCATGGGAGCTCAATTTCTAAGAAGAGGGATTTTTAGCCATACATACCTCGTTCAAGATTTCCTTAAGTTACTATGATATTCCGGAAATTCTAGCAACTTCAATCTATTTTGAGACATATCAAAATTGAACACAAATCGAGAAGATCTTCATAATTCTAGTTCATTTGAGCATTTTATCAAATACTAGTTGAGCATCTTGATTACAAATCCCCTTTTCAAGGTTTTCCTCCGTTCCCCAACCAAATATGCACTTACTTATGTTCAATAATCTCCCCATAAACCTACGGTTGATATGCATGTAAGGAATCCATTCTTATACTCATGAATCACCTCCCTAATTACTCCTTATAGGCTTATAGCTAAGAATAGAAATAGGAGCTGGGGTGATGAAATCTTACCTCTTGGGATGAAGATCTAGGGCCCTCACTTGATTATCTTCAAGGAATTAACAAAATTTTGTGAAGAAACTTGATGGGAGAAACTTTTCCTCTCTAAAACCCCTCTCTCTCACTTTAAAAATACTCAGAAGAATGCTCAAAATGAGCTATGGGGTCAAATATAACGATAGGGGGTCGGGTTTAGAAATTAAAAAAAATAACCCCAAGATGTCGATTCTGCTGTAGCAGAATGGACCGCAGAATCGACATGTGGTCCGCAGAATACGTCGCAGAATTGACGCCCAAAACGGGGCTTCTTGGGTTCAAAATGCGACCAAAATGCGACCGCAGAGTGCATTCTGCGGTCCAAAACGCGATCGCAGAATTGACACAGGTCATCAATTTCCAGCCTTTGGTAATTTGACCATAACTTCGGGTAGGAATGTCCAAATGACGAACGGTTTGAAGCATTAGAAACTAGACTCATAGACATTTCATTTGATATGCTATTCTACACAGAAAACATCATACATATTTAGATATTCCTGTTTAAAGTGGAGCCTTGTGCGAATCCATTTGAAATTTTAGCCTATTGCGAGATTCTTCCCATTTGGCATACACTTAGGCTTCCATTTGAACCTCACATCACTTACCATAAGACTTATACTCATAGTTACTAAGTCTAATTGATGTGCACCATTCTAATAGCACATAAAATATAATAATTAGTCTACGCAGCACCACGAAATCCTAGATTACTTAGCGAAATTTTTCGGGGCCTTACATTCCCCCCCCCCAGGATAATTCGTCCTCGAATGAGGAGTAGAGTCCGCCCTAAACGCTTAACTTAATATATCTCTTTTCTCACCTACCTCAAATCCCTAAATTTTTCAGAATTTTCGGCAGAGTCTCCTTTGCAACTAGGCCTATCCACCTGCTAGAGAACCACCAAAACCATCCTAAAAACACATCCACAACTCGACAAAGTACCACAATGTACATATAAATAACACGAACNATCTCTTCTCTAACCAACCTCAAGTTCCTAATTTTTGACCAACTCCCAAATTTTTCAGAAATTTCGGCAGAGTCTCTTTTGTAACTAGGCCTATCCACCTGTCAGAGAACCACCAAAACCATCCTAAAAACATATCCACAACTCGACAAAACACCCCAATGTATATATCAATATCAAGAACCTCACCTTTACAAGCACCATATTATCACGACGATACCTGGATACAGACTGCACATTTATAAAACATAATACTTAGAAGGTATCTTTCAAGTCAAAACCAATTGCTATATAATTAAGAGAAAATACCTTATTTCCACATCACTCTCGACCTTCATTGTGGGCTCTTATACTTACAAATTTTGCCATAACATTTTCACCGATATAATCTCTATTCCAATCTTACCTGACAAAGATGATAAGTAGATATCTTGCATAAGCTAACTATCCATTAACTTCACCTTCAATAATTTTCACTGTACAATTTACATTCCACCGGTTATTGCAATTCATGGTAACAACAACAACCCACAATTCCATCACATCACACCATCAAGAATGTCATTTAATTGTAACCAAACAGTTATGTGCTCATAATAGTCCCTACCGGTCATTAATGTAATCACAAAGGTGTTCATCAACAAGAATATAATTTCATTTCAATCAACCATCCATATGAAGTCAAGCCATGATAATTCTTTCTAGTAGTACATCATATATGATATTACCATGATCATAGAGTTCAATCAAATCAACTCACTCCCCTCTTTTACCACTACCTTCTTAGACATAGGCATATGAAAACACAGATTCATGAGGAACAACTATGGGGAGAGATCATATTTCTATTGAGTGACAAAGTGCATAGACTATTACCCATATCTCCTTCCTTCAGCTGTCTGGATGCATAGGCAATTACCCTACCATATTACATCAATATCGTGCCGAGCCTAATGCGCGACGTACCACTATACTCGGTATAAAAACATCCTTCCTAAGCACTTAATTCGCGTTGTAAGAATGTGTAAACACCTCAAATCCTACTCAATATTCCCATCTCACCTGATTATTTCTGTATGAGTTAAACTTACCGAGTTTGGGGGTCAAAACATGTATGAAAGTATCACCCCATGGTCAGTCTCCCATGGCACGAAATTAAATGGTCATACCTATTTACACCCAATCATAGAACACAAAGGGGTTAAGGGATGTACTTGTTGTTCCTTGGTTGTTGGGGCAGTGTCTTAGCTGATGTCCCTTAACTCCGTACCCGAAACACTCATCAGTGCCCTTACGACACACCCCTAGATGATGCCTCCTACACTTAGGGCAACGGGGGCGTTGCTGCCTCTGACGGCTCCCACTTGACTGGACCTGTTGGTTAGATTTCGTATTGCCTTGGTCTTGCATATTATGGCCCAACTGCTGCTGATCAGGCCCTGATGGTAGCGTCTTAGCTAAGGTCTGAAGAACTAACTGTATGGGTCTAGATGAAACTCTCTTGTGTGATTCTTTCCCACCATTACCCCTACTGTAGGAGCCATTAAAATTGCTCGCGGATCGGGCCTTTTTAATTTTATGTCGCTCTATCTTTATTTTTAACTTGCGTTCCTCTGTAGCTTGAGAGAACGCCACAATCTTCCCATAATTCATATCAGAATTCAAGGCAGCTGTAGACACCTCATTAATAACCAAAGGGCTAAGACCCTGCACAAATCGGTGCACTCTAGCCTCCATAGTAGGCAGGATGTGAATAGCATACTTGGACAAGCGAGCAAACTCCATGTGGTACTCCCACACACTTCTATTACCTTGCCTCAGATTTCAAACTCTGCTGCCCGGGCTACCCTTGTCTCTGTGGGCAGGAAATGATCAATGAAAGTATCAGCAAACTCGCTCCACCTCGCTGGAGGGTGCCCCTCCTCTCGTGAATCCTCCCACAACTCAAACCATGAATAGGCTACCCCTCTCAGACGGTAGGCAACCAACTCTACTCCCTCGGTCTCGGTCGCACGCATCACCCTGAGGGTCTTGTGCATCTCATCAATAAAGTCCTGGGGGTCTTCTTCTGGGTTGGCACCTGTGAATACCGGAGGGTCTAACTGAAGGAACCTGTTTACCCTGAAACTAGTAGAATACCCTAGTTGGCTGGAGGAACTGGGCGCAACATTTGTCCTCTGGGCCTGCAAAGCCACCAATTGAGTCAACATCTAAATAGCTCCCCTAAGATCCCCATCAGAAATACCAGAACCGGAAGTTGGGGCTAGAGGCGGAACAGGGGTATCAATGGGTGGGATAGTGAGGCCCTCCGTAGGTGTAGGAACTGAAGTAGTCTATTCTGGAATAGAAAGATCTGGCAGGGTAATAGCAGGGTGACTACCCTCCCCCACAATATCAATCAGTGAATCATTAGCCACTCCTGGAGTGGCATTGGCCTCCTGGCCAATTCTCACTTTCTTTTTAGGTATCATTTACTGAAATATAGAACAATGCACTGATTAGGGAGGAAATAGCTTCACCGCACGATCCAGGATATCAAAGAAGGGTGTTATTCCTAAGTGCCCAAATAGCCTCCAACTTATAGATGTGGTCGACAACACACCGATAAGAAGGACTCTACTAGACACGTCTCCGAGATATCCTAGGACACTTTAAAACCTTAGGCTCTGATACCAAGTTTGTCACGCCCCAAAATCCAAGGAGCGTGACCGGCGCTCAACCGAGTAAATCCGATTGAGCAAGCCTACTAGATTTCATTCTACCCAATCTAGTTCATGAATAAATAGGAGATGGGCTCCATTAATCATGCTCTGAAAATAATTCATTAACAACTTTCACTTATTTCCATAGAAGCTTAAAACATGATTATCAAGATGTCACAGTTTATAAAAATTTACCAAAATTCAATATTTCAACTTAATTCCCACTACCAAACACCACCCACAACCTGTCTACGGAGCCTCTAAACATAACGGAAGAATAATATGGAAATGCCGGTAACAAGGCTCCGGCTATACCTCTAAATACAAAGCACATGATGACAATCATACAGGACCCCGAAATGAAGTGGGACTCACCAAATTAGCTAAAAGAAAGGTGCATCACTGGCTACGACCAACACTGCCTACTATAGAACCACCTACAATCATAACATGAATGTAGCGCCCCCGGTAAAAGGGACGTTAGTGCCATTGAATAGCTAGTATGTATAACTAAACACCATCTATTTAGAAAGAACTTTCATACAACAATAAGAAAATCACAAGTGAAACTCATACACTTTAAATGATCATAACATTATCAATTTAAAAGGGATCACATAGCTTTCACATAACTTTCCTCCATTTAGGTTGCATCTCATGGCCCGTCCAAGGGATTCACATATCATGTTATACACCTATACATTTCATAGCCCGTCCATAGGGTTCACACATCATATTATATTATACACCTATGTGTTTCGCAGTCTGTCCATAGGTTCCACATATTATATTATACACCTATGTGTTTCGCAGTCTGTCCATAGGTTCCACATATTATATTATACACCTATACGTTTAATAGTCCGTCCATAGGTTCCACATGTTATATTATACACCTATGGGTTTCATAGTCCGTCCATAGGTTCCACATATTATATCATACACCTATGCGTTTCATAGTCCGTCCATAGGTTCCACATATTATATCATACACCTATGTGTTTCATAGTCCGTCCATAGATTCCACATATTATTTCATAGTCCGTCCATAGATTCCACATATTATATTATACACCTATACGTTTCATAGTCCGTCCATAGGTTCCACATCTTACGTTATACACCTATGCGTTTTATAGCCCGTCCATAGGTTCCATATATCAATTCATAGGCACTTGGGGCCATAATTATCACATCATACTTGGCACTAGACCACATTTTATAACTCAATCACTTGTTTCCCTTATTTCATATTATTTTCATATATTTCACATCAATATTAATTTCAACAACAAGCCATTTAATCCAAGATGTCAAGTACACATGAGAGGAACCATGAATCCTCGGCATATACAATATCTGAGAAATCATACACCTCAAGTTTAGTGACAATGAAATTTTAAACACAACGGATTCTTCCAAATCAATAAAGGGTTACACCATCCCACAATAATAACACGCATAAAAGGCATAAGCAAGCAATTACCTATTTTGTTCTTGAATTGTTCTTTTCCAATTATGACAATATACCATTTTAACATCGAAGTATGTAACAACTCAGATCTTATTAGATGTACTAATAAGGCAAGACATTTTCTCAAATATCAATTTGCGGCATAATTTGTGTATGAAACCTTTAAAGCACTTTTCTTTTATTAATGAAGTCATTTATGTAAAGCAGAGTCGAGGTTCATTTCATAATATGTTTCATATCTTCTCTTATCATAGGCATCACCGGGTACAATTATAGTTCACATTCTTGGCACATTAGCTGTATTCTATTTCAACCATCTTTATATATAAAGAATTTCACATAGTTTGGCATAATACATGCAGCTCCAATCTACATTGAATGTCTTAGCATTTCAATACATGTTTCATATTCCTTGCACTCTTTTTAAGTTATCAACAATAGCACCTTAATCATATTGGGATGCATCTTTCACAAATATAGGGTCACAACAATAATTCATGTAAAGTGCCAACCACAACAAGAATCCAAAGCTCAATCTTACCACATTTACATAGCCACATACTTCACTTCCAATCATCTTTATACATTACCAATAACTAGACACAATCAATCAAATACGTTTGGTACATATAAGAACCATAATGAGTTTTCTCACATAATTTGGCATCAAGATCTCGATTTAAACTTGGCTTGAAACCTAGGCATTTTAGCATATAATTCTCATTCTTCGCATATCCTCATTTACCAAGAATAACATGTTAAACACGTTGAGGTACATCTTTCACATGCATTCTTGAAATACCCAAATATTTTGAAATATTGAGTACCACATAAATCAAATTCCGGACTCACAACATACGCATGGACACCATGAGAGCTCAATTTCTAAGAAGGTGGAGTTTTAGCCATACATACCTCGTTCAAGCTTTCCTTAAGTTACTATGATATTCCGGAAATTCTAGCAACTTCAATCTATTTTGAGACATAGAAAAATTAAACACAAATCAGGAAGATCTTCATAATTCTAGTTCATTTGAGCCATTTATCAAATACTAGTTGAGCATCTTGATTACAAATCCCCTTTTCAAGGTTTTCCTTCATTCCCCAACCAAATATGCACTTACTTATGTTCAATAATCTCCCCATAAACCTACGGTTGATATGCATGTAAGGAATCCATTCTTATACTCATGAATCACCTCCCTAATTACTCCTTATAGCTAAGAATAGAAATAAGAGCTGGGTGATGAAATCTTACCTCTTGGGATGAAGATCTAGGGCCTTCACTTGATTATCTTCAAGGAATTAACAAGATTTTGTGGAGAAATTTGATGGGAAAAACTTTCCCTCTCTAAAATCCCTTTCTCTCACTCTAAAAATACTCAGAAGAATGCTCAAAATGAGCTATGAGGTCAAATATAACGATAGGGGGTCGGGTTTAGAAATTAAAAAAAATAACCCCAAGATGTCGATTCTGCTGTAGCAGAACGGACCGCAGAATCGACATGCGGTCCGCAGAATGCGTCGCAGAATCGACGCCCAAAACGGGGCTTCTCGGGTTCAATTCTGCGACCAAAATGCGGCCGCATAGTGCATTCTGCGGTCCAAAATGCGATCGCAGAATTGACACATGTCATCAATTTCCAGCCTTTGGTAATTTGACCATAACTTCGCGTAGGAATGTCCAAATGACGAACAGTTTGAAACGTTGGAAACTAGACTCAAAGACCTTTCATTTGATGTGCTATTCATCACACGAAACCTCATACATATTTATATATGCCCATTTAAAGTGGAGCCTTGTACGAATCCATTTGAAATTTTAGTCTATTGCGAGATTCTTCTCATTTGGCATACACTTAGGCTTCCATTTGAACCTCACATCACTTACCATAAAACTTATACTCATATTTACTAAGTGTAATTGATGTTCACCATGCTAATAGCACATAAAATATAATAATTAGTCTACGTAGCACCACGAAATCCTAGATTACTTAGCGAAATTTTCCGGGGCTTTACAGAAAGCCAGTTTCCGCAGGTACGGTGCAAGAAGCGCAGGCACGGCCCAGTACTTTAAGTGGAATTTCCCATATGTGCACAGGGGCCGTAGGTGCGAGGAAAAGGCCACAGGTGCGGAAACCCTGGGCCAGAACCTATATAAGGTTTTAGTCGCGATTTTTGCACACTCTTTCACCATTTTCAACCGGAATTTGTGCTTTTTGGGAGGTTTTTGAGAGGGAATTCAAGGGAGCTTCGAGGAGGTAAGATTTTTGGAACCCAACATCATTATTATGGTAATTTTTATCATTGTAAGCATGAAATTTGAAGGAAAATCAGCGGTAAATTGGGGGTTAGAGCTTGGTTAATTCGAGAGCTTTGAGTGGTGATTTGAGGGACCATTTGAGGTCTGATTTTGGTAATTTTAGTATGACTGAACTCGTGAGAGTGTGAGGATTCTGAATTTGTAAATTTTACCCGATTTCGAGACGTGGGTCTGGGGGTATTTTGGTTATTTTTTTTAATTTCGCGTATTAGCTTAGAATTAATTAGTTGAATTAGTTGCTTGAAGTTATATTTACATTATGCAATTACTTTAAATAGATTTGGGCCATTTGGAGTTGAATACCCGTGGCAAGAACGTGGTTCCGAGTTGATTTAGCTGGTTCGAGGTAAGTGGTTTGCCTAACCTTGTGGTGGTTGGGGGGGGGAGGGGGCTCCTCTTAAGATTTGGTATTGTTGATATCTGAAATTCCTTGTACGTGAGTTGACGAGTGCGTACTTATGCTAATTGTTGAAAATCTTATTTTCATTAAGTATCTATAACTGTGTTTCTTTTCCTGTTTATACTACTTGTAATTTAAGCCCACTGTTAGCATAGGGAAGTGTGTCTAATTGACTTAATTGCCTTACTTTCTCAAACTCTCTTAATTGAATTCTGTGCAGCATGCTAGGTTAGAAATACGTGTTTTACCTTGGTATGAAATTTGCATTGAATTGAATATTCTTCGTGTTGCTGCTGTGTGTTTACTTTGAGACTACGGGACGGTCTCCCGGGAGATCTCCCTGCATGTTTACTTTTTGGACGATGAATTTGTATTCTGGTAGATCCCCCTGCACATTTACATTGGAACTACGAGGCTCCACCCGTTAGATTCCCCCAGTACTAAGTATTTATATTTGGGACTACGGATCGGAATTCCGGTAGATCTCCGGGCACTATGGGTTGGATTACGAGACGACGTCTAAGAGATCCACTGGATATTTATATTTGGGGACCACAGGACGGTATCCTGGGAGATCCCTGGTTGCTATTACTGTGTGGAGTTATATTCCTCTGTGTTCTTCCATCTCTGTTGTAGTTGTTGTTATTCTTCTTACCTTGTATTACTTCATATTGTTAGCATTTAATTATACTGTCATATTCTACACTGTTTTACCCTATTTTTCATCTAACTTCAGCAGGGCCCTGACTTTCCTCGTCACAACCCGACCGAGGTTAGACTTGGCACTTACTGAGTGCTGTTGTGGTATACTCATGCCCTTTCTGCACATATTTTTCATGTGCAAACCCAGGTTCTTTGGCTCAGCCCTACCATCCTTGAGGCGAGGAGATTCTTCAGAGACTTCGAGATATATATGCCGTGTCCGCAGATCGAGAGTCCCTATCCATTCTCTCTAGTAGTTATAGCCCTTCTGTATTTATTTTGATTTAGATATTCTAGAGTTAGAATGCTATGTAATATCCTTAGCTTGTGCTTTCATGAGATTCCGAGTTTTGGGAGTTGTTTCAGTCTGAGAGTTTTATTGTATATACCGAGCGACATCTTAAATGTTCTATTTATGTTTATTCCGCAGTTTTTAGTTGGTTTTATCTTTCTTTTCTTTTTTCGCAAATTATTAGGCTTACCTAGCCGCTACGTATCATCACAACAGTTCAAGAAAAGCAAACTGGGGTCATGACAAATAACGTATGCAAACGTGTGGGAGAAATTTTAGAGCCAATTATGAGGATATTATCCTATAAATACTCATTTTCCTACAATTGTATCTAATTCTAAGTCACATATACTACTTTTTACTGAAATTCCATCTAATTTTCTGTTTATTTGAGCACTTTAAATTGCTGCTGATTATCAATCTACTTAGATCAAGAATAAGAATCCATTTTCTCTCCATCTTTATTTATTTCGTGTAATTGTTCAACTTGTTAATCTAAGCTCCACCTCTCTATTCATTAGCAGTATGGCCATAAACAATGAACTTCAAGCATATATATATATATATATATATATATATATATATATATTAAACTTGTCGACTCTATACACTGGATTCACCTCTTTGCTAAGTCATTTGTGTAAAAATGGTGTGTGGTACCCACTACTGAAGGTGGTATTTATTTTTTATTTAATAATTCTAATGTTGAGCAAAAATAATCACTACTTTATTAAAATTAATATAAAAAGATATTTTTACCTTTTCTTCCATTGCTTTTCTTCTCAAACCCTTGCTTCTCTCTTAATTCGGAATTCCGGTTGAGATGGCTTCGTCGTCGGCAACAAAATTCGAAAGCTTTTCTCAAAGTTGAAATTCTCAGTTCTCAAGACAAGAAAAAGCACTTTTCTCTTCCTTTTTGTTGTTGATAATTAGTTGTGCTCTTGAACTCAAACTTTACTGTATTGATTATCTTCAAGCTATAATTGTTTATATAATCAAAATTCAGAGCTTGTGTGCGGACGCACATAATTGTATTGGTGTCGAGTTTTAATTAACAGGGCACATTCTATCATGTTCTTGATGAGAAGATTAGTTTTTATATGGGTACTAGAAAAAAAGGTTTGGTCATGAACTTAGGCTAAGAAGCTAAAAAGTTAAGGACAATAGGTCCTGAACTTACAACTACAAGTTCAAAAGTTAAGGAATAGGTCCTGAAGTCCTGAACTTAGACTAACACGCTCAAAAGTTACGGACAATAGGTCCTGAATTTAGGCTAAGAAGCCCAAAAAGTTAAGGACAATAGGTCCTGAACTTAGACTAACAAGCTCAAAGTTAAGGACATGTAGTCCTGAAGTCCTGAACTTAGAGTTACAAGTTCAAAAGTTAAGGACATGTAGTCCTGAAGTTAAGTTCAAAAGTTAAGGACATGAGCAGAAGGGTATTTTCGTTTGGGCAGTTAAAGTTTATTAAAGCAGTGACTAAGGACTAAAGACATTTTAAGCAGTCGCTTAAAAGTAAATACATGTGTTATTAGTAGCTAACCGTGCACTTCTGTGACGACCCAAAGGGTCATCACCGTAATTCTCTTTTATTCTGTACTTTTGAGGCCTCGAAAACCTCTTGAGAGGTTGCCTCGATTTACGTGCGCAGTCCGGACGCGAAGCCAGAAAGATTTTATATGATCTATACTGAATTCTGTGTTAAAAATGCTAAATTTCAAGTATAATATTAACATAGTTGACTCCGGTCAATATTTTGAGCAAACGGGCCCGGACCCGTAATTTATCAATTTCTAAATATCCGTAATAAAATTTGGGACTCGTGCATATGCCCGGAATCGAATTCCGAGGTCCCAAGCCCAAGATACGCAATTTTCTGTGAAAATAGTTTCTGAAAATGTTTTAAGAAAATAAAAATGAATATTTGATTTCTAAATGCCGTATCGGGCTCGTATTTTGGTTCCGACGCCCGGTACAGGTCTTGTATGGTGTTTAAGCGCTTCCTGTAAAGTTTGGTCGAAATCGGATGTCGTTTGACGTATTTCGGACCCTAAAAGCTAAATTGAGAGTTTGAAGTCTAAAGTTGAAATTTATGGATTTTATGGTTTAATTATATGATTTTGACGTTATTTTAGCGATTTGATCGCTCGAGCGAGTTCGTAGGATGTTAATGAGTTAGTTTGAGTGTTTGGTTGGGAACCCCGAAGGCTCGGGAGTGTTTTCGGGGGTGGTCCGGGGTGATTTCTCTTTGAAAAATGCATCAGATTTTGTTGCAGACTTTTTGTTCATCGCGATCGCGATTGTACCTCGCGTTCGCACCGCCTAGCCCTTCCCCTCCTTCGCGTTCGCGAGCCCTTTGTCGCGTTCGCGTAGGCTTGCCAGACCCCCCTACCCAGTTCCTCTTCGCGATCGCGTGACTCTAACGCATTCACGTAGTTCACTCAGCGACCCCTCTATTTTTCCTTGTACGCGTTCGCAACCTCCCATCGCGAACCCGGTGCTTCCTGAACCCCTGTGCTTTGCGAACGCGTCCCATGATCGCGAACGCGATGAAGAAAAATGCCCAGTGATATATTAAATCCCAAACAGTGTCATCCGCGACTTATTTTCCATTTTCCACCCGAGAACTCTTCCAAAAACCTCCATTGACGAAATTTCAAGCTTCCAATCTTCATAAATCTTTGGGTAAGTCAATCCTAACTCGATTCCTTCATCATTTCTTCTTCAATCATTGAATTTTCACTCTTTAAATCATGAATCTAAGCTAGAATTATGGGTTTTTGGGGTTAGCTAAAGCTTATGGAATTTTGAGCTTTTCAACCTCAATTTGAGATCGAATTTAAATTCTAATTATATATTTGAGCTCATGGGGATATGAAGGATTGGGTTTTGGTCCGAGCCTCGAGTTTGGACCATGAGGGCCCGGTGTCGGATTTTTGAATTTTTGGAGGAAAGTTTGGGGTTTCATTTCTAGGCTATGGGATTGAATTATTGAGTTGTTATTGATGATTTTGAATCTAATTATGCTTAGATATCGTTGTTTGGGAGTTGGATTCTAAAGGGAAGGCGGTTGTAGAGCTTTGAATTACTAGTTCGGCATTGAGGTAAGTGTTTGTTCTAACTCTGGGTCGAGGGAATAGGATTAGGATATTATTTCCTATGTGGTGTCGGCGTATAGGTTTGGACGGTTATCTATGCGCCCGAGTCAAGCATGACCGTGAGTCTTTAATTGAAATTGTTAAATGCCATAACATGAATTATAGTTGTTGAATTGACTCTTATAATAAATTGTTGGAGTCTAAACGAAGATGACTTAAATGAATAATTCAAGTGCAACACTTTACCGAATTATCTGAAACTCTAAGTTGACTTTTCTTTCCCTTGTCGGGATGTTTGGTTATAGTTACACCCTTGCCGGGTTAGATGATCGATTAGCTGTGATACAGAGCTATTGTTGTTATGATAGCTCCCTTGCTGAGATCATTGATGTTTACTAGCTTCTCTCCTATTATGAATTGAATATGTTTTCATGGTTTGGCGAGGAGAGAGTGATTAAGCACGACGGGTCCTTCCGTACCGTGATATTGAGAGTGATTAAGCATGACGGGTCCTACCGTGCCATGATAATGAAATGAATAAGCACGATGGGTGTTACCATGCAGAAATCTGATTATATAATATGAGAGAGTGGGAGGATGAAAGCACGATGGGTGTTGCCGTGCAGTTATTTGATTATATGATATGAGAGAGTGTGAGAAAGCATGATGGGTGTTGTCGTGCATTTATTTAAATATTGTTGTGATAATTGAAAGTAAGGAAGTAGTTTCGAGATGTACATGATACCTTTACTGTTTTTCCTTGTCTTATTACCTTAATTATTGGTTGCTCGTTCCTGTTAATTTTCCCGTTAGCATATCCCCTCCCCGTATATTATTCATGCTAGATTACTGTTTCTGCCTTGTATATATATATGTCTTGCACAGGTTTAATGTTGTAGGTCCTGTCTAGCCTCGTCACTGCCTCGTGAGCCGGAGTTAGGCCAGGCACTTACCAGCACATAGGGTCGGATTGTGCTGATACTACACTTGCTGTGCCCTTTTTGTGCACAGATCCTGGAGCGGCGCAGTTTCAGCAGCAGCAGCTTTAGATGCAGAGCCAGCCTTCAGTCCAGAGACTGCGAGGTAGTTCACCGGCGTCCGTGGACCTTCCAGTCTTTTCTACTAGTCCAATTTGTTTATCAGTCCAGATAGACATTATTGTGTATTTTATTTCAAACGTTTGTATGTAGTGACTCTTAGAAGTCCTTGTGCTGTGACACTGGTTCTTGGGTAGAGGATTCATATCAGTTTTCTTCCGCATTATCCCCCAGAGGCTACGGAGTTAGGAAAATCTCATTTGTTTCATTCTTATCGTGCGATTCTGTTTCCCGAATATTGATTGTCTTTCTATTCTGTTCCTTCGCAGATGGCGAGAACTCGAGCTTCCTCTTCTACAGATCAGCAGCCCGAGGCCCCAGCAGCAGCTCCAGCTAGGGGCAGAGGGCGAGGTAGAGCTAGAGGCCGTGGAAGGGGCAGAGCTCAGCCCCTAGCTGCAGCACCAGTGGTGGAACCTCATATTGATGTTGAGGAGGTTCCAGCCCCAGTCGCGCCAGTGGTTATTCCGGGTCTTCAGGAGGCCCTAGCTCAGATTATGTCAGCTTGTTCGGGCTTAGCACAAGTTGTCTCAGCCACCGCCGCTGTAGCTACATCACAGACCGGGGTAGGACAGCAGACCCCCGCTACTCGCACGCCAGACTTAGCGGTGCAGGGATTTCAGACTCCTGAGGCACCGCCAGTGCAGTAGGTTGCCCCAGTACAGCCTGCGGTGCCAGTTCCTCCAGTTGCGCCGGTTCAGCCAGCAGCGCCAATCCCAGCAGTATTGCCAGCGCAGCCTAATACAGTAGCCCAACCAGTTATTGCGGGCCAGACCAGTGAGGGAGCGGCTATGACCGCAGATTCTTTATGGAGACTCGATCGTTTTTCCAGGCTATTTACTCAGACTTTCAGTGGTTTGCCTACAGAGGATGCTTAGAACTTCTTATATAGTTGCTAGGAGATTTTACGGACTATGGGTATACTAGAGACCTGTAACGACCCGATCGGTCGTTTTTAGAAATTTCACCCCGTTTCCCCGTTAACTGCTTCCCTTAAGTTTATTTAAGCTATTTTGAATTGCCGGGATGTTCGGTAGTCGAATTCGGAGTGTTTTTGGACAAATAGTCCTTATTTGAGAGCCTAAGTGTTGGAAAATGGTCCGTTGTCGGAACAGTGTCAAGACGACCTCGGAATGGAAATCCAATGGTTTCGTTAGCTCCGTTAGGTGATTTCGGGGTTGGGAGCGTGTCCGGATTGTATTTTGGATGTCCATAGCTCAATTAGACTAGAAATGCCGAAAGTTAGAAATTTGGAATATCCGGTCCGATAGTGAATTTTTGATTCGAGGGTCGGAACGAAGTTCTAAAAGTTCCTATAGCACTGTCATGTCATTTGGGACGTGCATGCAAAATTTCAGATCAATCGGACGTGGTTTGGATAGGTTTTTGATCGAAAATGATTTCGGTTAAGTTTTGGAAATTTTAAGCACAAGTCAATGATTAATTCATGTTTCCGGAGTTGTTTTGGGTGGTTTAAGGATTGGAACAAGTTCAAATGATGTTATGGGATATGTTCGTAGGTTTGGTTGAGGTCCTGGGGGCCTCGGGTGTGTTTCGGATGCTCAACGGGGCCTTTCCGGAATTTTTCTAAGTGCAGAAATCCTTCAGCTATTGCAGGGTATTTTTCCTCTCCGCGATCGCGTCCTTCTTCACGCGATCGCATAGACCAATATGGGGAGGGTCCTTTTTTCCTTCTTCGCGATCGCGTAGTCCCATTCGCGGTCGCGTGCCTCTGCATGGTCCTTCTCTGCGTTCGCGTCCCCAATCACGCGATCGCGTAGGTGTAGTCTTCCCTTGAACGCGATCGCATGCACCCTTCCGCGATCGCGTAGCACATTTTCCCCTGAAGCCCAGTTTACTCTACGCGATCGCATCTTCATCACTGCGATCGCGATCCACTAATGCCCGAGCTACAGTATTAAATTTCAAAACGGGAGAAAAGCCATTTTTGTCAAAACAAAAGCTTGGGAGCTCGGTTTGGGGAGATTTTTGGAGGGGTTTTCAGAGGCAAACATCGGGTAACGGTTCCTTACTCTATTTTGACCATTACCCACTAATCTAAACTCTAATTCAAGCTTTCCGAATTCAAGCTTTAATTTCGGATTTTGTCATGAAATTGGGGTTAAGTTCTTAGACCTAAGTTTGATGATTTGAGGGACCATTTGACCTCCGATTTTTGATAAATCTTATATGGCTAGACTCGTGGGAGCGCGAGGTTTCTGAAAATGTAAAAATATTCTGATTCCGAGACGTTGGCCTGATTTTACCTATTTTCGCGTCGTAGCTTCAATTTTACCAGTGTAATTAGTTAATTGCATTGCTATTCACACATTGTAACTGGTTTGAATAAATTCGAGCCATTCGGAGTTGGATACTCGTGGCAAGGGCTTTGCTTCCTATTGATTTTGGTACCGGTTCGAGGTAAGTGGCTTGTCTAACCTTGTGTGGGGGGCTTCTCCCCTTAGGATATTTTATTTGCTATTTTAAACGCCTTGTGCGCGAGGTGACGGGCGTGCACTTGAGCTAATTGTTGAAATTCACCTTACTTGAGATATTTAGACTGTACCTATTCGATCATTAGACTGTTAAATACTAGTTACCTGTGTTAATGTAGGAAAAGCATGTTAGTTGATTTAACTGCCCTATTTGATTTAGTTGAGATGCTTGTTCTTCCATGAAGCATGCCTACCTTCGGGAATTTTGCCTGTAATCCTACTTATTACTTTTCCTTCGACTTGTTCTATTGCGATGTAAGTATGAGTTCCCTGTACTTTGAATATCCTGAGATTGGTCGTGCGGATACTAAGAGATCCCTGGCACGTGATTGATTATAATTAAGGATACCAGGAGATCCTCGGAATACTATGAGATCCCTATTGCTTATTAGAGGATACTAGGAGATCCTCGGGATACTAAGAGATCCCTATTCCTTATTGGAGGATACTAGGAGATCCTCGGGATACTGAGAGATCCCTATTGCTTATTGGAGGATACTAGGAGATCCTCGGGATACTAAGAGATCCCTATTGCTTATTGGAGGATACTAGGAGATCCTCGGGATACTGAGAGATCCCTATTGCTTATTGGAGGATACTAGGAGATCCTCGGGATACTAAGAGATCCCTATTGCTTATTGGAGGATACTAGGAGATCCTTGGGATACTGAGAGATCCCTATTGCTTATTGGAGGATACTAGGAGATCCTCGGGATACTAAGAGATCCCTGTTGCTTAATGGAGGATACCAGGAGATCATCGGGATACGAAAAGATCCCTGTTGTTGATTGGAGGATACTAGGAGATCCTTGGGATACTGGGAGATCCCTTGTGAATAATTGAGGATACCGGGAGATCCTCGGGATACCAGGAGATCCCCGATAACTGTTAGTTTGCTATTAATCGTTTTTGTTCATAGATTGTATTATTCGCACTGTTACATTACTTATTATCCTGTTAGTCTTGTTAATTACTGTATTTTCTCCATAATTATATTGTTGCTTTCATTATTATTGCCTCAGTAGGGCCTCGACCTTCCTCGTCACTACCCAACCGAGGTTAGGCTTGGCACTTACTGAGTACCGCTGTGGTGTACTCATGCTACTCTTCTGCACACTTTTGTTGTGCAGATCCAGCTACATCCGGTACGGCGCATCAGCAGTGAGTCCGGAGCTGCTCATTTCGGAGACTTGAGGTATGAATCTGCCGCGTCCGCAGATCCGACGAGTCCTCCTTCCACTCTTTCCATAGTTAGATAGTACCTTTTCCTGTTCATTTTGTATTAGACTTCCGGATGATTAGAGCTTACTATGTTCAAGGTTATTAGCCTGTGTTGCCCGTGAGTTTCCGGATTTTGGGAATGTTTTCAAATGGTATAAGTGGTAAGTGTATGTGCCGAGCGGCACTCATTACATTTTTATTTATTTAAGTGATTTCCTTGTCTTTTTCTTGTGTTAAATGGTTTTCCGCAATGAGTAAGGCTTACCTGGCCTCGCCGGCCAGGTGCCGTCATGACGTGTTCACCGTCGGTGAACTAGGGTCGTGACAAGTTGGTATCAGAGCTCTAGGTTCATCGGAGTCACGGAAACACAGGCCGGTTTATTAGAGCCTCGCTGATCGGTACGGAGACGTCTGTACTTATCTACGAG